AATTTTTTTAATAGTTGGGAATTAAAATAACATTAACTTCTTGATTCTAAATTAATTGAATGAAATCCTTGTTTCTTATGTATTAAAATATTTAACTAATTTATAAAACTATTACAAATATGTATTTTAATAAAATGAATAAATAAATAAATAATGAAACTTCATGGTACAGGAAAAAGAAAAGTCCATGCAAGAAAAATTGAATAAGTCAGAAGAAGAGTATAATAAAAAACTACAAGAAATTGAAAATCAAAAATATGAATTAAGATTAAAAGAAATGGACATTTTGAGTCATGAAAAAATGTTAGTATTATTGTTACTTGCACCTATAAAATAATAAGATAYTATGATTTTATTAAAATGGATGCTTTCAGGTTAAAAATAGAGTCACTTAATTGTATAAATGAAACCAAAATTAGTGAATCCAATCAAATTAAATTGCTTCAAGAACAAAACATTAATTTAGCAAAACAATTAGGGGAAATAAAATCTAAACTTGATGAGCTTGAAGGATATAAAAAAGTTGAGCAGATATGTTCAAAAGTAATGATAATAACCTTCAAATAGATTTCTCATTGGTKTATTTAAAATAGTATTTGAATATTTTGTAAAAGTTTAAAATTATTTTTTTATTTACAGGATCGAGAAATAGTGAAAAAATTGCAAAAAGACAATGATGAGTTGCGTGAATTTATAAAAGTCCAGCGACAAAGGATTGAAGAATTGTCAAATAAAGCATTAAATTTAGCAAAACAAATTGAAAAAACGCATCAAGTACCATTAACCACGATAGGCTATGAAAATAGAAACGTAAAAAAAAAATTGTGCTTTGTTGACGACTCCGATAAAAAAAATCGTTTTACCAACCAAAACATTTCTTCCACAACTACAGATTATTCAACAACTGTGTTAGATTCTGATAATCTAACAGAAGATGACATAATACAAGAAGCCGAATCGAGACTGAAAACTTTAGAAATTAATACAGCAAAAGTAGAACAAAACTTGAAAAATTTCCAATTAAATCGTTCACGCCACAACACAGATTTCAAAGTAATTAGAGATAAGTCATACAACAAAATTCGATCAAACTTTTCAGACGACTCAGATAAAGACGCATTGAAACGCAGCAGTAATAAAATTAATTTAAAAGAGCTTGCCAACAAGATTGGTTATCATCGATCAATTAGGCGATCCATGAACCAATCACAGTCTGAAAACGATACAAGCCCTGAAATCTTACGAAATACTAAATTACAGGATTATACCAATTCTACCAATATTTCACCAATAAAATTATTGTCACCCAATATTAGAGAAAATTTTACACACAATGAATCACCTGCAGATAAAGTTAATCTAAGAACTAATTCTCCAATTAATAAATCCAATTGTCATACTGAAGTTTCTCTGAATAAATCTATTATGTCTACTCAATCTACAAAAGAACACAAATTAGAAATTGAATCAGATCCAACAAACACACTTCTTCCTGACACTAACAATGGTGTTCATAATAATGATAATGTTGGTATACAATTAACAGAAAATTTTGAATCGCCACAAAAAAGAACATCTGTACARGGAGATTTATCAATAACTAAAAAACTGCAAGAAAGTGATCACTCGATTTCATTTGGTAGTAATAAAACTGATAGATCGTCAGACTTTTGGGCATAATAGTAATATATTTTATTTATATTTGTATACAATTTCAAGGTATTATGATTTATTTTGAGCAAGCATGTTTACATATGCTACAGATATCAAGTCTTTTTCTTCAACTCCCATATGAGACATCAGGTCTTCTGCAATTAATTGTCCATCCTCAACTGTTTGGGAATCATCTAAAAGCACCTAGATGAATATTGAATAATAATTAGAATCTACAAATTTATCATATTCAAAAACTTACTTCTAACTCGACAAAATCTCCAAGACCATCAACCCTATCAAAATGTACTCTTGTTTGTCCAACCATTATCAAATTTCTTTCTTTTTTCACAACTCCCCACGTACCTAAGGCATTTGTAAGTAATTTTTCCATATCTTCGTTTACTTGGCATTTAACATATGAACTCAACTTTGGCCCTGTGCTTTCCTCACGGTCATAATAAATTAACTCATTATAAAGACCCTGTAAACACGATAAAAACATTATAAGCTATAGTAGGTATGTAATATTTAATACAAATACAATAATTATGTTAATAAATTAATTCAACTAAACTGTTAATGTTTTGATTTACACTGTATATTTTATTGTACWATTAAACTCAGTGTCATACATTTTTGAATTCTGATGGGCTGAGAACTTAAGACTTACTGTCATAATATTTTTTGTTTAAATATATTGATTAATATGAATATTTAAAGATCATCACAAATATAAAACATTGTTAGGGTTGATATGAAATGTTCATAATATTTAGATTTTAACGCTTAAATAAATTTTTTTTTAAAAGATATTTTATGAATAAATTTGAAAAAAATTAGTCAACATTTATTTTACATATCCTACCATTTGTCTGAGTTTCAATTTGCCAGATTTACCAGCCGGCAAATTGAAGAACGAGTCTCTTTGTATCATGGCTGTGGAATCCGGGCGAACGTCATAGGCGGCATTCGATTTTAATGCTAAAATACGCTGTTTGACGGCCTCCAAATCTTCAACACGCGCTTTGATTTCTACGTTTCTTTGCATAGTTTCGTTTAGCACGGATGTTAAATGTTTTACTGCAAGATAATTCAAAGATTAGACTTGTCAACAACTTTTACAGCTCAACAAAAATCTGATTCTTTTGACCACACTTGAACCCCTATTCTAATCAACTCTACGCCGGAATACTGAATAAACTAAGAATTAACAACACACTGTTCAGTGTTCACAAGTTAGCAAAAGTAGTAATGGTAATTACTAACTACTAGTAAATATCAGACTAATAAAATAATAAGTTAATAACTAATAAGAATGTTTATAGATGATACTRTATAATTCTACAATATTATATATATAWATTATCTATTAACCCCGAATGTCGAATGATCACGATTAAAGATATATTAATATTATAATTGTATCTCTGGTGGTAGGCACCTTTTTTACCTATATCGGCTATATTATCACTTTCTGGATGATATACGATTATATTATTATCAACGGGATAGCGACTATAATTGGCGGGAAACTATCACCGTCGGAAAAAAAATATAAATACTGAACAACTAAAATATATTGCGACTTTACCAGTAAACAGTAGTTAGGTACTTGTTACTTGTAAGATGTGACTTTGTGAGACAATAATTTTTGTAATTTAAACTTAAAATATGCTGTTGATTTCAGAGGCGAAACGAATGTGGTGTTAATATTWAAAAAAAATATTTTAGGATAGGTGGGTTGGTGTTCAATTTGTAACTTGTAAGTGAATAACTACAATTACTAAATAATAATAATAATAATTAGTGTCTCATTAATAATGAGTCATTATTAATTTTTGGTTGTTTTCCGCTTATATTATTACTTCGTTTTGTCAATGCAGACG